TTGTGAAATTTAGAAGGCCTATGACAAACATTAAGAAGATTGTGATGGAGATCATATGTGATCTTCAGCAAAAACAAAAATAGAATGGTGTAAACTCAAAAAGTATATTAACAGAACTGCATGTGACTAGCAAGGGATGTTTTGCCTTCATGCCCGAAAATGTTTGATATTAAGGCAAGAGACATAGGTAACAGACTGTTCAACATTGTGTGTGGGAAATCATTTCGAAGATGATCAAGAGCCCCATTAAATGCTTGTTACCTATAACGTGGGTCGTATTTATTGCGTAAGGTAATGTGTGTTCACTATCTACCTTAAGATCAAAAGTTTTTAAATAAGAACTGAACATTCAATTGACTTAAAATGGTATCATGACTTAATGCTAAATTCACAGGATCAGATCTACTGGTTAGCGCCCAACCATTTGCTTTTATCAATCCATTACATGAAAAAGAAATCCAGGACAAGAGACACGAGTTCGTATCTCCAAATCCAGAATTCAGCAAAGAAAAACTCTACATATATACGGAGTTGGTGAAGTGGAAACATTTACTTTCAATAAAGTTCTGAGCTTCCTAGTACAACAGACATAATATAAATTCCCAGTGTAACTTTTTCTAGTCGGTAGGAGAATAACCTTATCATTCTGATAATTGCCTTTTTCCATCCAGATTTTCCAAAGAAATAATATCAAAGATACCCCTATGTTACCATTTCCTAAGAATTTCAATTTACTCATGTAATGTAGACAACCTTCATTCATCGTCTTCCACAGCGTAAGAGAGTAAGATCAAAATAAGTGTCTTATTAATCACAATAAGTTTCGCATAGTCAGTGATATATTATTAATTTAGCCTGGAATGTGTGCAAAATATATGTTCACGTTGCGTAAAAACTACTCTATCAGAGAAATTTCTCAACAATAGGGGAAAAAAATAGCAACCTTTGAGTCACAAAAATTGGCGTTTGAAAGAAACACGGGCAACTTAATTCTGATACATTGGAGAATTAATTCCCTATAATAAATCTCAGAAAATGAGAATGGCTATCAAGAAGATATTGCATCTCTTGAGTGAGACTTGGACTTCTTTCAATCAAGATTTACAGTGTAATCTTTTCTGCATGTGACGTACATCAATAGAAGCAATGTGTCGACGTCCTTCAAATACAAAATTAGAAGAACTAATTTAATCCCGTATTTAATTCGACTGCATTATTAGTGCTTGTACGATAAGAAACACTGTTTCCTGGGTAGAATATTATAATTGAGCATTTTTAAGTACTCTATGCGGCTTGCCTTTGACCATATATGTATGTATGTATATACGGTCATTATTCAAATACAAATTACAACTTAGAGAAGTAATTTAAGTATTAATTCCAAATACGAGTAAAGTATTGGTGTTTATAAAAATAAGAATCGATGTTTCCTGAGTACAGCATTATAATTGGATATTTTTTTAGTAATCATATATGCGACTCGCCTTTGACCATTTCACCAACCATTCGATCTCGTTTTCAAATTTTCGCTTAAATTGAAATGAATAATTCTTTCACAATCAACGAAATGTACTGATCCAAATGCAGGTAGAAAAACAAAGATTTACAAAAACACGCTACAGAAGGAGAGAGAGCACCGATAGAATGATATATGAGTGGAAGAGAAATAGAGAAAACGAGCCCTAATCAACAAAGGGGCTCGAGAGATCACCGGATGTCGAAGCCTCGACAACGCCATGGATCAATCACCCGCTGAATTTCACCTTTAATGCTTTCTTTTCCGATATCAGAAAGGGTGACCTGTGCCTAAGGTTGATGACCAGAATAGGCTAAGGTCAAAATGTGCAATTTTTTCATATTTTGTTCGAAGTTTAGAAGGGGAATAGGATCCTTTTAGAAACTTAGTGCGGGGTCGGTGATCTGAACCGGGGTGGGCGTTAGGGTGGCGGTGGCGGTGGCGGTGGCGGCGGCGGGGCCGTCGCGGGCTTCTCACTAGCAACTAAGCCCCGCCACCGGGCTTCTCACTATGGACTTGATGTGATGCAATAATTTGCGACTCAAAATTGAGGAGTCTGTTTCACTTGGATTTAACGTTTCAATGTATACAAGATATAGTCAATGTCAAATTCGAATAAAGGAAGAAGTATTTTGTTTCCACAATTAAGCATTAATCATTTAATTCGTTTTGAAAATATTGTACATGAAATATTAAATCGTATATAATTTTAACTAAATCTACATATCGCGTAACCTGTCTCAAGCCCAGGGGAGGCTGTAAATTTAATTTATCCGGCACATTAACAAAATTAATTTTTAAAGTTCATTGTTTAAAAATTTGCAACTTTATTACATATTGGAATAAAAATAACTATTTTAACTGGATTACAACAAAATTTAGAAAACGGATCGACAAAGAGCTCGCAAGTGAGCCAAGCCGATTTATTTGAAGCGAGCTGACTTGTGCTTGACTCACATCAAATGAACACAAGGAGCCTGCTTGTGTGATGGACCGAGTCATTCAAAACAAGCTAACTCAAGTCACCTCAAACAAGCATGAGGAGCTTCCTTGTGCAATAGATCGATTCGAACAACTCGATCCTTCAACAACCTTAACCATATCGATCTATTTGTAGTATTAATTATATGATTTTTATTTTTATTTTTTTTAAAGGAGGGAACTATTTGGATATAGAAATATTACTTTTCAAGTTGTCCGTGGCAAATAATAGTATCAGAATTTAGAAATTACCAATTTCCACTCATTGAACGAAAGAAAAAGTAATACGCTTAACGAAAGAATATATGTTGCGATACAACTTGTTAAGAATTTATGAATAGTTTGTCTTAAAATTAAATGTTACAGAAGTAGGTGGTAAGGCGTCGTCTGAACCATCTTTGAGTGACATGTCTTTCTCAACAGAAGTCAACAATCCCTTTTCCTTGATTTTCCATTGTCTACCCAAATCAAGAAACTATTTTAAGCATAAACCATCCCAAACCCGACCTGATCAAAACACAATATTCTGGTACAAAATTACAGAAGTAATAAAAAAATTTCAATGCCGAGTTATACCAATTTCACACTTACAAAATGGTTGTACCAATTAATTTCACCATTGTATTCCAACTTTCCAAATAGGTTGGGGACTTCTGTTGCTGCATATTCCTTTTTCAACATATTGCATTTGGATAAAGCTTAGTGTACATAAGGGTGTCCATACTCTCGCATGGGTATGGGGTCATTCCCCTATTTTTTTATTTTCTTTTTGAAAGATAATCAAATATTTTATTAATCAATGTATAATACACGGAAGGTGTATTATCAATTTAAAGCAGAAAGAAATAAAATAAAATTGGACAGCCCATCTATATGCCTAGTGGATGCAGCACTAAACCACGTATACAATGTGAAATAAAACATTTATCTAATTTGCTCTGTTGTCCGTATTTGATCATCAAAGTAGCGGTTGTTTCTTTCTCTCGACATACACCATACAATGCAACCTCGAATAAGGTCTCATGCAAGCTTGCAATCCTTGTCACGAAATTTTCTCCTCCATACCTTTAACACGTTTTTCATATGCCTTGGCATCACCCAATCCATGTGTTGTGATGCCAAAATATTGAATGCAACTCGTGGAGGCAGTTTACATTTCCTCATCAATTTCCAAGGGAATGAACTCTGCACATGACCCAATAAAGATCTGAAATAAGTGCCAACGGAGAAAACCTCATCCCGTGTCAATCATCAAATGACTAGCATTACTTAAAACACTTCACATACTAATCTAAGCTTTCAACTACAAGCATATACCAAATATATCTCCAAAGACAAAAAAAGTGGTGAAATGCACCACAAAAGACAACAAAAAAGAAGGCTATGGTGATAGCAAGGAAGGATGTCAGAAATCTTATAAAGTTTATTTAGAAATCTGGCCAATATTTCGAGTAGTAACGCAGAGTTGGACGAGTAACATTTCAAAAAGGATATCTAAAGCGTCCGTTAGTTTATTCATAAATCTGTTTAATCTAAACGGCAGTAAACCATAGTTTGCCAACACACGCTTGGTAAAAGGGTATCTACAGTGAGCATACTATAGTAAATTTTCTCTGTTTATTTGCGAAAAGTAAACACATATTGAAACAAGCATATTGGAATTTGTCAAAAACTTGGATGTGTTGCCAGCCTACTGTAGTTGGTTTCTATTCAGCCAGAAGGCAGGAAATACAATAAGCCCTTGTTTGAGCCCCATTCTTTTGTAAAAATTCATTTTTCAACATCATTTCAACCACACATTCTTCAATAAAATAATATTGCACGCAAATTCAAAACTTTTCCTTATTTTTTAACCACACATTTCCTATCAATACACTATTCAAAAATTCATTCTTACCAAAAAAATGGGGCTCAAATAAGGGCTAAATATTATTCCTCATGACAACTATGCTAGGAACCCAAGCAGAATACTTGACATTAAGGAAGTATATAAGCCAGAGGCCCAGAGCTCCAATTCTTCAACTTGACTTCCATTTTTCTTATTAGGCTATCAAACAGAGCATATAAGCCACTCCCGAATAGAAACCAAAAATTGAACTCTCTATTGTGCTTTCTTCTTTGGCATGCATCTTATCATATAGAAGGTAGGAGTTGCCACAACAGTAAGACTGCTCCATTTTGACCTAAAGGTCATGGGAACAAGTCAAGAGAGAGCCTTTCTATAGGAATGTACTTTGACCTCCTGCACTTCGTATGCCCTTTTTTATTCTAATTCTACGAAGACACTTCCATATGTACCATTTTGCATGAGGGTGGCAATTAGTTTCACTTGGTTTAATCCAAATTATTGTGAATAGATTATTGGAGAATATGATTGAACATTAATATTATAGATCATAAACATTGTAAAACATACTGAAAAACAAACATTAGTTAGAACGAGTAACACCAAGATTTACATATAACTCATCCATAGGGACAAGTTTGAATGCAAAAGGCTCAATCATTATCTTCCACCGTCATCTTCAGAATCCACCGTTTCTTTAACATCAATTGTGAAGTTGTACTCCTGGTCACACCCCAAAGAAGAATCACATATAAAATATAGTGTGCATGTCTTCTTTCCAGCTTCTGCAGGAGCAGTAAAATCAAGTTTGACTCTGGACCTCCTCTGCAGTGTAACCCTTTTGATGGCAAGTAACTGATTAGTTTTAGTATCACCAACCACAAGCCACCACCCTTCTTCTTTGGCTTTGGGATATCTAGGAGAATCCACAGGTCCAACCTCTGTCCTTCTTTCAAGATCTCGTTCCAGGGTTACATGCACACTAAATTCTTCTCCAACTCTCACATTATCACTATCCAGCACATCATAATTCAGGTCAATGTTTGGAAAACGGTTACAAAAAAGAGCAATATCCATCAACTGTGTGTCTGGCATTTGTAATAGCTCTCGCCTTTCATCATCCTCCATTTCCACCAAAACAAATACTGTCTCGATTCTCTTACCTGGATTCTCCCGACACTTCTTGGCCAACTCTTTTTTGAAATGAGGAAGCTGAAGAAGCATAGAATCACGGTCCCACATTCCCTGGGTTACCATCTGGCTTACTTCCATAGCAAGAAGGGCCAGGCTAAGCCATCCACTACTAGAACTAACATCAACCATGGCTTGCAGCAGCCGGCTAACAGAAATGAGCACCTCTTGCTGATCAAAAACCAGATTTCCACCAATTAGTTGCCTGGAGAAATGAGCTTGTCATAGAGCATTTGCCTTCACATGTGGATCAATGCACTTCGGATTCTCAAAGGAGAACCGCTGGTGATTGATTAACCTTTCTTATCAGCTCTTCTTCGCCAGGTCGAATAGGAAGAAGTTCATACTCTGAAGCCGAAGCCAAAATTTCCAGAAGACCTTTCAACTTTGTTTTAGATGTCAGAGATGAACTGAAACTTTCAATTGTTGTGCAGCTGATATAATAATAAGATGCTATCATGCCAAGGTTCAATGGTGAAAGCAAATAGTCATCTTCAATGGCAACACATTTACTCGCTTCCAGATCACTCAGTGTGATCTCCACAAGTTCTGAGAGATGATCAGAGAGATGTCTGTGACTAACACCCTGAAGATTATAGTAGTTCGGATTCTAAGTGAGCCTTCGATATAAAAATGTCCAGATAAGGTAGTCCACAGCCTCCTGCTTGCTCTGAATCCCTCCCACAACCACCTCTGCATTTATATTATCATGCAGATAATGATGCAGATGGCTTTCAACTGGAAATGCTTCATCCAAGAACTTCCTATAGTAATCCTTGCTTGGTGCACGGCAAAGGATGACACACTTTCCACAATTATCAACAAGAGGCCAAGTGGCATGACCCATCATTTGCAATAAATCAGTAACTGAGTAGTCAGTGTGAGCATTTTCGCTGCCATCATAGTATTGTGTTCCCATAACCACAACCAAATGTGCAGATAGGGGAACTCCCCAACACATTGAACTGCTCATAGCACACAATTGAATCCATCCAGTTTCAAACAGTGTCTTCACTATAGCTTGATCTGTGCTCGTTAGTCCCTCGTGCAAATAACCTACACCAAATTGAATTGTCTCATTCAACATAGGTTCCTTGATCCTGGAAACAAAAGGCTCCATCTCTTCAAAAGACTGTAATAAGAACATTGGTTTTTCTTCATTGTCCACACTCGAGTAGGACATGAGATCCACGGCAGTGAGGCGCGTATGCTACGTGGTAGGAACAAATACTATTGCAGGTTTCCCATTCTTAGCATGTTGAACAATTGCAGTATTTGTAGGCTTTGTCATGGCCTGCATCCTTTCTTCAAAATTAGCAATATCAACACCCAGAATATGAATTTTGAGAGGCACAGGCCTCACGGTAGGATGAAAATTAAAAAGACCATGTGAAGTGGCCCCAATCCAATCCCCCAAATCCTTGGCATTTGCAAGAGAAGTTGACAACGCCACAATACGAATTTTGTTCTCTTGCTGACTAGCATGTATCTCATCCTAGAGATTATGAACTCCAAGACAGGACCACCTTGACCCTCAATCAGATGGAGCTCATCAACAATGAAGAGACTGGCCTGCTGAACATGCTTTCGCTGTTTCTATCGACGAGATAAAGCATCGCACTTTTCGGGAGTGCTAATAATAATTTGACCTTTCTCAAGAAGTTTCAAATCTGTTGTCGTTTCTCCAGTTAACTCAACCACTCTCATCCCAAGACCCTCTCCAAACTTTCTCTTCCAATCTTTGTACCGTTCCTTTGCAAGAGCTTCAATAGGAGCAATATAGACAGCACGCATGACACTTTCAGGTCCTTTTTGATAGTTCCTTAGAATGGCAAATTCTGCACATATGGTCTTTGATAAGTGTATTTTCTACACTTATTCGGGGCTCTAAACTATATAATTTTATTGTTCTTTTGGCAAAATATAATCTAAATTTTATTGTATTAATTTTCTTAGGTAAAACTCGTGCTTGGATGAAGAAGGAAAGGAAAGAAGCAAAAATTGGCAAAAAGTGACAAAATCCATTTATTTGGCGGCCAATTACGGTGAATTGGGCGATTGTGGGCCATTTTAATTCTTGGGGGTAATTTTAAATGCTTCTCCAAACTTCAGGGACCAAAGCTGAAAATTTTCCTAGGTTTTGCTATTAAAAACCATGCAGATCAGTTTTAAAAGAGGAGAACCAGAACTGCCGGCAGAAAAGAAAAGAAAGAAAAGTGAAGAGAAAAAAAAACCTAGAGAGCCGAGGGAATTAAAAAAACTGCCGACAGGAGAGTCAGAGAAGCTGCGGCTGCTGGAGGAGATTGTGGGGGCTGATTTATATATATTTTACACACCAATTAGAGGGGAAAAAAGGTGAGATATATATACAAGAAGTCGCTGGCCAGAATTCACAAAAAAAAGGCTGCTTGGGAGTAAAAGAAAAGTGGCTGCTAGTCTAAAATATACATATACATACACTGCCAGGTGAGAAAGTGGAGAAGACGAGTGCCAACTTGGGAAATATTTATACACACTTTGGCGGCTGAACTTGGGGAAACTGGTTATATATATATATATACAGAATTTGGTAGAAAAAGTGGAAGAATTCTTGGGGTTTTGCTTTGGAATTCAAACTTAGCAGCTGGAAGATTGAAGGAAAATAAAAGTCAGAAACATTGTGGCTGGAAGTCAAAGAAAAGGCTACAGATTTGGGAGGAAAACAACCGGCCAAAGTGAAAGAAAAATACACTCGCGCGGAAGTCCAGAAAGAAATTGAGGAATTAATCATGTTTCGTCGAGTTTTGGTGATTTCCTTCCACTTTTCTTTGTTTAATTCCAACAGTATGCTAGGCTAATTTTTCTCCTGTATTGGATGGATGACAAAGTTGTTTAATTTTTAGTTCTAATTTGAGACACGTGTTTTTATTTTAAATATCGTGTTGTGATTCCATTAATATGCTTATTTATATTATTCTAATATTAGCGCACCATTAGGATAATAAATTGTTTATTCGTAGTGTTGGAAAACTCACGATAGGTAGAACACTATTATTGGGACACACGCGCAATAAATATTAGGAATAATATTTGTTCAAATAGTGCTCTCATCAGACGTCCAGTACTCTGCAAAAGGAAGACACAAATGTAAACAAAGAGAACATGCATTAGCATGTAAAGGACTATAGAAAGTATCTAAAATTGAATGAATGATGAAGTGGGAAACTCAAATAGATGATCACAATTGCTAGACACACACCTGAGTAATGAATACCATGTCAGATGTTAAAGACAGTCCTTCGAGCTTCAACTGTGAAATATAGGCTTGGAGTAAAACATTAATCTTGGCACTAGGCTTCTCGAGACTTTCTTTGATTGGTATTGGGACGAGGTCTAAAAGTTTTGCTAGCTCCATCTTCTCATATTGTCTCACAGTTACATATTTGAACTCTTTACTGATGGAGAACAGACGACATAGTTCAATATCACCCATCGTTGGCTTCAAATGCTCGTTGTACGTAGATATTGTTCCATGGGTTATATAATAGTAGCTGGCAATGCAACCCAAATCAGTAACTTGGAAATATCCACTTTTCCTGTCATACTTTATCAGATTATTCTTGTCCAATAAAGTAGCGGCTGAATGAATCTGTAAATGGAATTAACAAAGTAGTCACTTAATAATTTTTATGCAACCAGCATTAACATTATTAAATTAATTAAAAACAGAAGTTCACAAAAGCATTTCAAATTGAGAAGATTGAACAGAGCAATGACTGAGAAAGGCAACCATTGAGCTTCTGTTTTCTTCCTCTACTTTTTTTTCTTTTTTCTTTTTTTTTTTATTCTGGGGAAAGAAGGATACGTGGAACAGAAACCACATCATGGTGCTCAGGGGGGTGTTGTTCATGCGAAATGCATCAGCTACCACAAAGGGAAATACATTAAAGGCAAGTTGGAAAAAAGAGCTGCAACAAGGCAACAATGAACAGGGACAACGTAGAAGGAAATAGTGTGCATGATGCTTACTAGATCAGCTCTCCTTTCCTCCAAGGTCGGATCTCTGGTCACAACATCAGATGCCAAACCATAGAGAGCACGATTACATAGCATGCGGACACAAAGATAAGTATATGCGTTCAATAGAAAGCTGCTGATTCATCAAAGAAAGATAATACTGTAGTTCACTATGTCCAGTTATGATAATTCCTTCCCCATAGGTGTCATATTGAGGCCTTCCAGCACGACCAAGCATCTGCATAACATCTAGAGGGCTCAATTCAGTCCATGCTCCTTTCTCAGGATTGTAAATTTGGGTGCCTTTAATAATTACAACATGAGCTGGCAAATTGACACCCAAAGCTAGAGTTGCAGTAGAAACCAACACTTGTATGTGATTATCTGTAAACGGGTCCTCAACAATTCCACGATCAGTTCTAACCATCCCAGCATGATGTATTGCAAAACCATATGGCAATAGATCCTTAAGATCACTGCTCTTCACCAACTCCGTCGGGTTCTGAAGAACTTTGCGGCTGGCACTATCCTCTTTCAAGAATTTAGCAAGAGTGTCATTAGCAAGGGCAGCATCTCTAATTGCACGAGCTGTTTTGGCCGTCTCCTTTCTCGAGTGCACAAATATGAGCACCTGATGCTTTCCGGCAACACTGATCACCTTTTCATAGCATACGTCGTTCATCAGCTGAAATCTCAGTAGTGGCTTCTTAACTGTGATCCCAATATACCGCCAAGCCAGAGGAACAGGTCTGTAGTTATTGTCAAAATGGAAGAGCCCTTTATCTAATTTAACTCGTAAAAATACAACCACGTCTTCATAATTAGGAAGTGTAGCTGATAACCCAACCAGACGAATGTGATCTTTTGTAGTTTCAACTTGTCGAACGGTTCTTGCAACAATACTTTCCAGCACAGGACCTCTATTATCATGCAGAAGATGAATCTCGTCAACGATGAGAAGCTTCACAAGCTGGGTATAGGTGCGATCGCCCGATTTTCTGGTGATAATATCCCACTTCTCAGGGGTTGTCACTATAATCTGAGTTTCTTCAATTTGTTGACGAGTCAGTGATTGGTCTCCACTCAGCTCTTTAACCTGGACACCATATTTTTGTAGGCGATTAGAAAGATTACCCACCACTTCAGCGACCAGTGCCTTCATTGGTGCCACATAGACAATCTTATATTTACTATGGTCTATAGTCCCATCATCATTCATATTTAATGCAAGCTGTTGAAGTATGGTGAGCATGGCAACATTGGTCTTCCCTGACGCAGTAGGTGCACATAATAAGATATTTTCTGCACTGAATAGCGCAGTTTCATAAACTTTACTTTGGACCCTGTTCAACTCTCTCATCCCTTCAAAAGCTGCTTGTGCCCAGTCTGGCATTTCAGATATCTTTACAAGTTTTTCACCCGCAGCCAATGGCTTCGGCTTCAAAGCAGGTACATGAACTTCTTCGTAACCTTTCTTATGATTTCTATAAGATCCTACTGGCAGCTCACACTTTTTATTCGCCATTAACAAACCACCTTGGTGAAATGCAAGGCGGTCAAGATCAAGTATTTGCCCCGGCCCTTTCAACCAAGCACTATCAGAGTATCTATCAGCAAACCCCCTGCGTTCACGGACACCATCTTCACCAGTATCATCTCTCAGTCGTCGAGCCTCTTCCCTAATGCTTTTTTCTAAGTTCTTCTGCCTCTCTTTCGCAGTCGCCCCAGTAGCATGCAACTGCTCTAGAATCACAGCATGATCGGGCCTCAACCCCATCATTTCCTCTTCAATCTTCTTCCTCTCCTCTTGATCTTCTGCCCTAGCCAAGCGGGTACACCAGACAACCTTCAATCGGTTTCGCAACAAATACTTGATGAGACTAAACTTATCGAATTGAAGATGCACCAACAGCTTGGTCTCAACTTCGCGATCATCACCTTCAGCAAGAATTTTAAGAACCTCTTCTGCAAGCTTCTGACTCTGCTGTGGATCAATCTGCTGATCATAAGCCTGTGAAATCTTCCTTTGGAGCCAATAAGCATCAATATCCTGAACATTTAAGGTCATTCCCTCTTTAGCTTCCTGTCCCTCATCATCATTAATCCCACTGCCCATCTGCCTAGCACTAGCACTAGCTGCTTCCATGAAGTCATCCTCCTCCTTCTCATCCTCCGGTACCATATCCAGATCTCTCTCTTCTTCCTACTCTTCATTCTCCTCAAATTCAACAGCAACGCCAACATCATCAAGGGCATCATCACCATTAATAGCAGCATCACCTCCATCACCGTCATCTTGATAATCAGTAATGAGCCTACCAATGGACACTAATTGATCAAATATATTGTTTTGGATGGGGTTCAATAGCTTTTCAATTTCCTTCTTCTTGTCAGAAGTCTTGATGCTCTCATTTTTTAGAACAGCTAAAATCTCATCAGCAGCCCCACTGACAATATTTAGAGGCTGGCCACCCAGCTGCTGCTGAATAACACTGAGCATGGCCTCGTACGCAGCCCTGGTCTCTTTAGTCTTAGGCTGATAAACCCCTTCCTCCGTAGAAGTGAGAACGCTTTCCTCTTGAAGGCGTCTCCTTTTGCTCTTAGGGGCAGCAGCTTCAAAAACTGGTTCACGGTCCTTCTTCTTTTTGGACTTCTTGAGTTTCTCCTCTAATTCAGGAGGTTTATCCCTGTAAGCCCGATCACCAAAGGATTTAGGGTCTATTTTCCCCCAAAGAGACTCTGGCTCCCCGGTGGGCTCGTGGGTGTCCCGGGGGCGGGAATCGGTAGTCAAAACGAGGCTTGAGTTTGCCCGATATTCATATTGTTTGAATCGAGCATGGGCCTCTGCACCACCACCAGACTTCTGATTGCCACCACCCGGATGAGACATCTTCAATCAGAAGTTAGCAAATACCCTGAATCACGACAAGCAAAATAGCCACAATAATCAGTCTAAAGCTAAGAACTCCAGTCCTGAAATCAGTCCTGTAATCCTAACAGTCTAATGCAAGAGAAGCAGGAACAATAAATTTATAAATTTGGCTAGATTGTGAATATGGGGGATGATGAACGAAAAATATAAAGAAAAATAAAACAGCAATGGGTAGCCCTAGATTGGTAGTGCGATTCTAGATTGGATATTTTATCTAACTTAAACGTTTCAATTAGTTTATCCTTCTATCATATTCATAAAGATTTATCACTAAATGAAAAAGTTTTTATTCATATCCAGGCGTACTTAGTGTACTTATACACAAACTAATATCAATAGAACTTCAAAATTACAAAAGATAGAAGAAAAAGCACCAGAAAAACACAAGATAACAGAAAATATTTTCGTGACATTCAGATTAATCGGAAGAAGAAAAAAATATCCTAACAAGTAATAACATTGACCGCACAGAAATTATAGTTCAGTTCCAAAATTTAAAGGGTCAGTGCTTTTAAAATAAAATAAAATAAAAAATCTCCATTAAAAAAGTTAAAGAAAAAAGGTATGGCGTGAAGAACCGAAGAAAAACAAAAAGCTGAAAATCCCAACAAAAAATATATACTTTTATATACTAACGCACGAATACTATGTTTAACTGATTTGAGTACCACTAATGAAAGAAACATAAAGTGTTTTACACATATAGACGGGAGTTACCTAATCTCTATTCTGTTTGCAATTTGGGTTGGCACTCAATCAAAGTTAAGAATTATAGTAGACACTTCTCTAGGGTTCTTAAAATAGAATCGCTAATAAGAACAAGTAGACTATTGAACCTAAATACAACACAAAAAGGAAAATTATGCCAATTAAAAACTTACAGATTCACATGTACTGTGGAATTTGAAGATAAGTATGGCGGCCAAGAAATTCCCTCTCTCTGCAAACCGACTTAAGGAAAAGGAAAACAGAGTCTCCAGTGTTCCAATGTCGTGCAATGTTGGAAGGGCTCTCAAGAATGTGGAATTAGGCCTCTTGCCTCTGTCTTCTAATGGGGCAGAGCCCAAGTTACTGGGCCATGTTTTGGACTAAACTCTTGTTAGAACTGGGCCGCCAGAAATTTTTAGATGGGTTGGATCCCATGTTGCTGGGTGGCATACGAAAATTGGATATCCACGTAAATTTTTTCCCAATAAATTATTTGAAAATTAAAATTTGAGATTAAAAAGTTAAAAAAATTTATGAATTCACGTATAAAATTATTTTATTTGAAAAATGTATATTTAAAAATGAGCTTCAGAGGCTGTTTCGGAGTGATTTTGAGAAATGATTTTTTGACCGTTAGAAGAAAAGCGGGGTCCACTTGTGAGAGAAGAAGTCAAATATGACGGCTGAAATAGTGAAATAACGGTCAAAAAATCAATTTTTTGGGTGAAAAAATCAGGCCCAAACAGGCCGTCAGAGAATAAAAATGAAAGTGATAGGACATTTTCTTAGGTTATTACCATTTCTTCATCGAAAAACGTTGAAAATGACAAATTTAAATCTAACTAGTTAATTTCGGTAAGAAAAAAATGAGACTAAATTAGTTTAATACCAAAAGATTCTCCATTGATTTTTGCGGTCCAAGGGATCTCTTGCAAATTTATTACAAAATTGGGACTGCCATGTACTTGGTCTATGAGTCAGCTTGGACAACGAAAATCTCTCATACATTTATTGAGATAACACAACTTATGTTACACCCCAGTGGATATTAGGATATGTTTGATTACATTTATTTTTCATGAAAAAATATCAATTTTTCACCCGAATTACTATTTTGAAGTGTTCGATTGCTATTTTTTCATTGAAAATATTTTTCAACTTCTGAAAATACACCTAATTTTCCTTATTTTTATGCAAATTATTTTCTTTGAAGAAGTAAGTTTTTGTTTTTCTCAAACCAAGGAAAATATTTTCAAATAATATTTTTCATAACAATCAAAACACACTCTATAGTTAAGGAATTGGGCTATATATCCAAAAGTTAAGAATTAAACAATCTTAATTCTTTTTTTTTTTTTAATATTCAAGTCCCAACCTATAATTCTTACAGCACTGTGGTCCCCAATTACAGAATACGTTTAAAATGCCATCAAATATGCATGTGTGTCCTGCATGCGAGTTTCCGGAAGGACAAAAATGGACGTAGACATATTAATTCTCATAAAAAAATAAAAAGAAATACAAAAGGTAAAACAACCCGCCTGGCATCACCACCAGATCAACCATTTGCGCCAAGATTACTGTGGAATCTCAATTGAATAAGTCACGAAATCCTCCTAACAAAGCAAACAACTAATCATCCATTGACACAATCGTAGGAATGGGAGAGGCTTAAAAAGTATGTTAAATAAAATACGATGAGATATTAATGTACTCTATTAATAAATATAATCTTATAATTCATTTGGACAAAGTTTTGCACCATATACAAACAGCATTATATATTAGAATATAAGTGATACAATTGAAATTATGGGCAAAGTTTTGGCCCCATACACAACACAATACTATGAAAAAAATTATGGATTCCATAGAATGTAATAATATGGGATTGTAAATGATTTTTTAAAAATCTCTTCTAAACAAACCCCTAGTTGGCCCCATATGCATTATAACCCCGCAACGCAACCCAACCCAACACCCCTATCTCAATTAGCACCTTCATTTGGCAAAGCTTAAATTATAATTTAAGTCAAACATATTTTTTATTTAAATATTTCGTAAGAACATAATTTCTACTTATTATTCACATATTTCGTAAGACTCACAACTTGCAAACACTTAAGAGCAACATCACACACACACACAAAAATCCCTCCAAAATTATAGTAAAAGAAGCACTTGCAACTTTGGAAAAGTTCTTGTTCGCGACGTATGAATATTTAGACTGCTCAACATCCTTCGATACAAGTCATGAGGATTCCCGTATCTCTTCACACGAAACATGCCATCGTCAATATACTTTTTTGGCTATTTCCTACGTTAGATTTGGAAGTGGCTCAATCCAAGGGGATTGGTGCTGGATTCTTGGTTTTGTTGTTCATGAAACTTGTCTTCATTGCCAGGTAGGGAAAAGTGGCTCGAGGTAAAGGAGGAGGTGGATCAAGACTTGGCATGGCTGGGAAAAGATCTGGGAGTGGTTGCCGATATGGGTGGTAATTTTGGAAAGGGTGGAGGTGGGAAAGGGAGAGGTGGCTCGGGTTATGGCTTGGGAAGCACTTTTGAGTATGAAGTTCATTGGCTCACGGATTAGCTAAACTATGAACCAACGCAGCCAGTGAAACTTGTTTCCTTTACACAATACAATCTTGAGCAATTCTAATTTCTGAAATATATTAAGAATGAAAAGTTAAGAACAAGTCAAATGTACAACAAACTATGGCTGTATAGCTGCCGCTGGGAAAAAAATATGGCAATCTACCATGAAAATTTGTAATTTATAAGATATTTGGTATGTTCGACTCTAACGTGATTAAGGAATAGATGCATATGAGATGTTGGTCCTTGATCTGTCTGCTCAAGCATGGTAAATGTATTCTTATTTGCCAAATCGGCTTGCTGTGGTCATTGCATACGTTTAAAAAACAAATCAAATATACACAATTAAACATCGATGCATCCCAATCATTTGGTAGAAGTCATTCTCTTATCTCAGAAACACGATTTCACAGGTTATTCCATGCACAAATCAGTATGGCGGTAACAGGCTACTGGAAAGAGTCCCTCAAAGACAAAAGGCAACTTCCTCAGCAAAATTGGAAGGAGCAATTACAAAAAATAAGGAACCAGAAGGAGTGATGACTTCTATACATGTATGTTACATGACAAGACTCATTTTTGCGAAGGTTTTCGTGATAGCTAACTAGTGCAAAGCTGTTAACAAGCAAAGTGAAATTCAGACTTATAACATATGTAACAGTAAAATGAAAAACAATAATTTTATCCATAGTAGCACTGTAGCATGATAGAAAGAATAGCAAAATTTGAAGAATTCTCAAAATTTCGTTCACAATCCTAAGATTTAACAAATAAGCTTAGCCACCAAATTCCAACCAATGGAATGATTTCTTACATTTGGTCAATAGAACTATATGGCCTATCTGCGCAATCTTATTTCAAAAATATTTCATGCCATCTTGATGCTTGTTTGTTGAAACTTATTCTTGCCCTCCATTGTATGAATTTTTTAATCATAATAAGAAATATAGACCAAGTCCCAACAGTTGCCCAAATACAAAATGAAAGTGTTAAAAGATTAGATAAGAATAGTGAAAACCATTCCATCACCTCTCAGAAACTGAAGCAACTTTCCGAGATATCATGGACTCGGCTACATGAATGGCTCTTTGGGGCCCTGTGATTGTAACTTTCCTACAAAAGGAAACAAAGGTTTCAAGACAAAAAATATTTGGTATCAAGTTCTGCTAAAAGATAAATTCTCATACCTATCTGATGTCCCAGCCATGAAATCACCCCTATCAGATATTTTTATCCTAGCCCCACTAAGCTGCAAGGAAAGAAGCACAAGGTTGGAATCAAGCCAATAAAAAATGTTTCTCAACCACCTCATGTAAAAGCTTAAAAGCTTAATACGTTAATGAATATCATATTTATTTATTTAAATTTAGCATTTTGCACGGCCCTCACACGGAGCATAAATTCATCTTTTTATGAAAGGTTGGACATGTGCACAAGTTTCATAAAAGGTGCCACGACTTGAATATATCGTGTTGAAGCACCTCTCAAAAAGCTTGAGCCATTAGAGAGCGACATCTTTATTTAGTTAAATTTAGTCTTCCACAAGAAATGAAACCTGCCGACAAACCTGACTGATCTCCATGAGAGTCCTTCCACCACGGCCCACAACTAGTCCTATACGCTCGTCTGCAACACCAATAGTCACAGAACAATTTCTGTCTTCCTACAATACCATGTACCTTCAGTTAAACATATGCATATTCATATAAAAACTGTAAATTATTAATACAATTTTATATACCAATCCTTGAGCACTTCACAATGGAATATTATTACCTAACAAATTAAAAATTATATTAACTACTACGACTAAAAGATGGAATGAGAACCAAAAAGACTAGTCTCAAAACCCTGTTATAGGAAATTTGGAGCAGTGGAGAAAGGAGACGTGTTTAGAGCCACATTTTTCCTACCTCTTAGTAAATGACAAGAATATTTTGTAATTAAGTCCAGAGACCATATATACCAACAAGGCATTTATTTAAAGAATAAAATTCCAAACCAACATTTTGGCTGCAACACAACTAGAAAATAGTTTAGTCAAAATGTGTGAAGATCATAATAGACCTTGTTCTGAGCCAGATTGTTCTGATACTTCCCTCCAACTCCATTTAGTCCATAGTTTATCCCATTGTATGCCACTGCTGGAAATGGTCAATGAATACATTACCGTAAAGAAGCAACTGAAATCGAAAACGAAGCATACACTTTCCAGAACAATTACTTATAAACACCTTTGAAATTGCAAAAACTATGAAGAATAAACATCAATGAAATAACTCCAGCATAACATGCAAAACTTCTGCAAAAATTTATATGCTAAAAAATCTAACATGAGCATAAATAAATGAATTCACCAATCTCTGCAATTATCTATAATTTAAGATCATCTCATATTCCAGTTTTATGAATGAGAATAGTCCCTCCTTCAGTAAAAGGCTTTTTATCTCCAAGTATTTGAAGTCAGAAAGTATATGAGAAGGAGGGTAACAACTATGTGAAACCTTAAAAGAATGAACAGCCAGCAATTATTTATTGACAAAGCAGAAGGCATGTAAATAAAGTAAGCATGATTGCTCCAACAATAGGGTGTGGGAGCTGATAGGAATAATTATTGACTAGCAATTAATACCTGTGTAAGCGAATGGAGCACTGGCAGACTGTTGATAATATGGGTCTTCTACCAATTTCAGTAGGATAAGCTCGATTGCCCGCATTTGCCCTCCTAAAGTACCAGTCACTGTTACTAATCTATCATGCAACCCAGGGCGAAAATCATCCTGCGGTGATATCTTTATGCCAGCTTGAGAGTCCTCGATCAATGACCTGTTCCAACAATTAAATGCAAGTTAGAACTTAGAAAAATAATCATGAGGAAATAAGTTATCACACTGTGTTAGTCTAATTAAGAGAAATACAATCCAGTTTATTCCAAAATTTGGACTTACTAGATGAATTACAGAGCAGGAAATAATGTGATCATCCATCATTTTTTTGTTTTATCTTGTTGAAAAAGATCAATAGAAGAAGCTAATTTTGTTATGCAATTATAGTTACGTATAGAAATGCCAGCGTGATGCACCCTTAAAGAATTAAAATTCAAATGATCCATTGGATTTGCTATTATATAAATTCAGAGAAGTTTCACCTCCAAACATAATAGAAAAGGGGGGAGGGGGAGGGGGAGAGGGAGAGGGAGAATTATAACAACTTTGAGACAAAACAAAGAAAGTTGAAGTTGAAAACACTTCTCCAAAGGACACCAATTTTACAAAAATTGAGGCCATCCTATTTAGAATCCATATGCACATAAACATAAAAAAAAAACTCTCTGAACTGGTCCATCGCTATTGAGGCTCATTCAGTGTATGAATGAATACCAATTGATTCCAAAACCATAAACTAATAACAGAGTAAGGGGAAAGTACCCATTTGTTTCCAATATTACATGCAAGGCGTAACAGGCATTAAGTGTGCCCGGTTTATAAAAGACAGAAGAATAAACACGTGCATTGACTATCACAAAGCAAAAGTCAAGTAGATTTTTTTAAGAAAAACATTCGCGTGTTAACAAGAGGCAGCCCCATCTACTGTATTAAAGCTCAAGAGACTGATTTACTTGATGAAATCCCCATCATGGAATTCGAGAAAATATCGCGGCCAGCAACTGCTAGAAGAAAAGGCAGCACTTCTAAATAGAAATCACTGAAGTACAAGATGCTTCCGGAAGAAGTAGTAATAAATTGCATCTTTAAACAGTTATAAATTACTATTACACGTTGAGAACTTAAAATCAAGACAGAAAAAGTAAAAGAAAAAGGAAGATAATAAATCAAATACATCCCTCCTCTAGGTGAATAATATGATTAGAACTTTACAGCGTCCATCAACATGCGCCTGTATCTCAAAAGCACGCACGTATAGACACACACACATAGGCTATGCACATTCGTGAAAATGCACAGATGTAGAAAAATAAGGCCAGCTACGCAAGATTTTTGTGACAACCTGAGCCTGCAGGTTGCCTCCCATGCATATAATGAAGGCTACAGCCTAGAAAGTCACTGCCAAAATTTGCCTCCATAAAATATAAAAATGACCGTTACTAACATATCAAGCAATAATTTACAGCTTTCTGATTAGAAATGATTTTAAAATGCTTCAAAGAGGGTTAAGATGCTTTGCTATAACATATAAATTGAAATAATCAATTATTTTGCTGTAGCAGACAGAAGAATTGAAAATGACTTTGCTTTTCTTTTCTTTTTTCTTATTCTCAATAGAAACTGAAGATATCATAGAGAAAAAGAGTGCGTGATCACGGGAAAAGCAACGCACAAAAGTTTGAACAAGAATTTTATAATACAAATTAAATCAAGGAAAAAGGTATTCCACTTTAATGCAAATTTGTCCAAGCAATCAATAAAAAGCCCTCCAGGACTTTAGACACAGTGAAGCAATAAGGATTGCTTGGTACAATAACAAATGGACATGCTTGACACATTCTTAAAATTCCTCGCAGTTCATTTCTTCCAAGTGAACAAAATAACTGCTCACCTCCACTAGACCTTACCCTCCCTATCACATCCAATAATATTCTCTAAATCTCTAAAGCATATGTATTAAGCAAAAATTGACTGCAATTACTACTCAAAAGCAAAACATTGACTATTAAATATTTTTACCCTCTTATCATCTAATATATATATATATATATATATATAAGGAAATCAAAGCAACCATTCAGCGAATAATTACAATAAGTAGGACTCTTACTTTATGATCAATCCACCCTTTCCAATTATTCCACCGCAAGAGCTGTTCGGCACTATCAGCCTAATTTTGGATTGTGGCTCAACATCAATGCCATCTTCCACATAAAACTAGCCCAAAATGAAATTACATCTCTCTTAAATATTAGTTTTAAAACCTTATTAAGAAATATGGTACATATCATTTAACTTACCTCATCCAGCAATTTAGTAAGAATGAGATCAACTGCCTTCAGTGTGCCACCAACTGTTCCGGACACCATGACAATCCTATCAGATGTTCCTGGAAAATACTCAAAATTGCGTGACAACTGGATTCGTGCTCCAGATTGTGACTGGAAATCATTAACAGTGGAGCCACCTTTTCCAATAATAGAGCCAGCTTCAGCATTTGATAAAAGGAATCTAAGATGAGTTGTCCTCTCCTCGTTTCCTGTGCAATAAATGACAAAATAAAGATATAAGAACGTGTGAGATGTTGCAAAACAAAAACAAAAGATCGGAGAAACAATCAAGAATTTTGCATGCCTGCATGCATTAAAAATAAAATAAAATAAAAAAGAGCTAATGAATATTATATGTTCTTTGTTCTCGATATGCAGCAGAAGTGTGCATCTTATTGCATACATGCTTCAAGTGAGATCATTATAATTATAATGAAGACTTTGAGTTGAATGAAATGGTGATACCACATTACATATCAAATAATATATCATAAGTATCTGCATAAAACATGATGCCATCCATTTATGCCACGCCTTAGCGACAAATTATTAAGCACCCATGCAATAGCCTTTATATATTTATGAAAATGAGAAAACCTGGTGTTTCATCCTGTTTTCAGCTGAAAGCCAACACTAGATGAAACGATGGGCTTCTCTTAAAGAAACATTCTATCATTCATTTAAGCAGCATTTTATCAAGTCAATAAAAGGGCCGACAGATTCCGTTATTAAGCCGCAAATTTAGACACGTCGTGCAAAGTAAAAAGGCACTTCCAACTCAAGTGCTAGTTTAATTTTTTGCGGAAAATATCTTCTCAAGAAAAATCCGCACAAAATCTAATAATGTATAAACTAATTTGCTAGGGTTTCAATCACAAACAATTATAAAAAGAAAACGACATCATTGTGCAAGTTATCACTTTTATTTCTACGCTAAGCTAAAAAGGAACTAATATAAACGCAATTCTCACGTTAAACCGTAATTCTTCAAGAAACTGGATCTAAAACCACAGATCTTCGCACACACTGAAGCACATACATTTATACATACATAAATTTATATATAGATACCTGGAGGAGGCGAAGATTGGTAGTGCTGAACCTCCGATGACGACCCGTTATGTAGAGATTCGGTCGCTTCCATTGCCATGCTTGTATATGTATATAATTGCGTATATGTATATATATAGAATAGTCAGAGCATTTGAAATCTATAGAGAGAAATTGGCAGTTGACAATGTGCGAGTTACTTGTTTCAATGGTCAAGTTCATGTCTTTAAAGTCTAAAATATATGTTTTGGTCATTAAAGTTAGGTACATATCTTCGATTATTCATCGAATTTTAAAATATCGAATTTTGAATATTGAACTTTGTAAAATATCGTACATTACTTACTAGTATGACTGTTAAATTTTGAAAAATATCAAATTACAGCAAGTAATGTACAATATTTTTCAAAGTACAATAGTCAAAATTCGACATTTTGAATTTCAGTGGCCAATCAAAAACATGAACTTAAGTTCAATGACCATTAGAACAATTAACTCAAAATTCGCTATGATGTGATATAATTTATATTTTTTAGTTAAAAGTTGATAAAATTTTAAATTATAGTCAATAATAATTTAATGACTTATTTCCAGTGTTCTAAAAGGCAACGTCAATCTGCGCCTAAGCGTGATGTTTTTTTCTGATTTTTTCATTAATTGTCTTTGTTAACATATATATGCAAGTCTTTCAAACAAAAAATTTATTCTTGAACCTAAAGTTATAGATATTCTAATATTATGTCTAACATATTTTTCAAATTCTATTTTAAAATATATTTTCCATGAACCTGATAACTTATTATAATACATATTTTGGTATACTTCTTGATTTTCATTACTATAAAATTGAACATAGTAATAGTTTCTAAATTCACAAGTATATTCTTTAATTTTACACATATCACATATTGTTAAATTTATTAATTTTATTCTAGTATTGTCTTTTTCTCTTATTGATTCCTCTTCAGCATTTTTTATCCAATTTTCTCCTAAGAATTCATCAGAAATATATTCCACTAGTTTTTCCATACCTTGTCTATCTGATTTGATTATTTCTGTTTGTACATTTCTTTTTATTAATGTTTTTGTATCTTTACTTATTCCTTCCCACCAATTCCTAACATCTCTTTCAAATGATGCTATTAAGAAATCTATTTTTCATTTAGTACTTTCCCATGTGTCATCTTTATTATATAAAAAGAATAATATTATTGAATCTGCCCAAGTTAATAAAGTTTTTTTAGTATCTACTTTACAATTTAAGGCCCTGTTTGAGCCCCATTTTTATCTCATTAAAATGAAAAATATGACCGTTATCCATCACATCAAGCAAACATTTTTGAATTTCTATATCTTGTGTGGGGCCCATAACGGCTCTATTTTTCATTCTCATTCTACAAATAATGTGGCTTAAACGGGCTATAAGTCTAGTTTTGTTTCTCCATGATTAATTGGTTTATCATAATTATCATTTAATTCAAACCTATCTTTATATTTATTTCCTTTAAGTGGTTGTCTATCTCTTACTTTATCATAAAATGATCTATATGGTTTATTATATATGGGTGCATAACTTTTATCTGTATCATGTAATTCTTGTTTAGAGGTTCCTACTGGATTAGGTCCTCCTCCAATATTCATTAAAACTTGATATTCACTTATATCTGTTAAGCTTAATTGATCAAAATTTTCTATTAATAAATCTAACTCTTCATTCATTTTTATCTTCTTTTCTTCTATTTTTAATTTTCCTAATGATTTTTCTTTAGATTCTTCTTCTTCTTCTAATATTTTTGGTAATATATTCTTTCTAAATTCATCATCCATGCTTCCTGTTTCCACTACTATATTTTCTTTTTCTATATGTTTCTTTCTTATCCGAGTCATTTTTTTCTATAAGTTTTTTTTATCTATTTTCTTATTTTTATTCTTATTATTTTCTTTTAATTCTCTAATTTCAATTTTTAATATATTTATATCGTTTCTTGTTTCTTTTACTTCATTTCTTAAATATTGTATATCATTTATTAACATTTTTATCAATGATTTTAATTCTTTCATGTATTCACTTATTGACATTTTAACTTTTTCTTATTTCTAACTCATAAGTTAATTTAAATCTTTTATCTTCTTTTTTATCTATTGTTTTTCTAAATCTTCTCTCAGCTGTTTCTGGATCTACTAATTCTTTCTTTACTATAGTAAAATATTTGCTCTTAAATTTTAGTCTTTCACATTTTAATTTTATTAATTGTCTATTTTTTGATATTCTCATTCCTTCTGGTATTAACATTATATTTCTTATTTCTTCTTGTATTTCATCCATTTTTAAAAGTAATTTGTTCGATTTTTTATGTGTATTATCAATTGTACTCATATTTTTCTTTATAATATAAATTATTTTCTTCATCTTCATATATATTAATAATTTTCTCATATGTATATATATCCTTTATCGTTTCAATTATTAATTTTTCTAATATTTGTTCTTTTATTTCTTTAGGAAGTTCTTTAATTATTATCAAAGTCATTATTTTTAATTTATTATGAATAGGTTTTAAAAATATATAACTACCTTTTTCTTTTTCTAAACACCAATAATTATTTATTTTCTTTATTTTAGTTTCTATGATCTCTATGGCTCTGATACCAATAAATAGGGGTGCTACTTAGAGCGAACATAAATCAAATAAATCAAATAAAAATATTAATCAAATAAAATTATCAAGTTTCATAGCAAGTCTAAATTTTTAAGGACTAAAATAGAAGATTTTTATATTATGGTACCTTGTTATGCAATATTCAAATGGAGGGCATTTTTGGTACGAAATTTGTCTAAGGGTCATTTTGGAAAACTAACCATTTTGAAAAGGTTATTTTCATGTATTTCCCGTCTATTTTCCCCCAAAGAGACTCAGGCTCCCCGGTGGGCTCATGGGTGTCACGGGGGCGAGAATCAGTAGTCAAAACAAGGCTCGAGTTTGCCTGGTACTCATACTATTTGAATCGGGCACGGGCCTCTGCACCACCACCCAAATAAGACATAGTCTTCAATCGAAAGTTAACCAAAACACCCTGAATCACGAGGAGCAGGAAATCACTATTATAATCAGTCGAAAAGCTAAAAACTCCAGTCCAAAAATCCTTATAGTGCGTTGCAAGAGAAAACTGGAAGAATCAATTTATTATTTACCTAAATTGTGGACGGGGGGCTATGAATGAAGGATTAATATATTGGATAGCCCTAGATAGGCTGGGCAATTCTAGAATGGATACTATGGGTGTGTTTAGGGATGTAAACGAGCCGAGTCGAGCCGGCTCGCGAGCCGAAATTTTGGGCTCGGGCTCGGGCTCGGCTCGAGAGAATGTGTGGTTGAAAATGAGTTTGAGAAAAAATGAATTTTTGAATAATGGGACTCAAAGAATATATATAACTTCTGGCAAGTGAATCAAAAAAACATAATTGGACTACCCTACATTGGTTGTGCGATTTCTGAATGGATTTTATCTAGCTTCTGCAACGTATTTCTATCAGTTAGCCCCCGTTTGGCCCCCATTAAATTACATTACATTATATTATATTTTTCTCTCTCCTATTTTCAACCATACAATTTTTCATAAAATAATATTACACGTAAATCAAAAAAATTTCTCTCTTTTTTAACCACTCATTTTTCAAAAAAATACTATTCCACCTATTTTCAGCACCAAGTAATGGGAATCAAACAGGAGCTTAATTCTTCTATTATATCCATCCAGATTTATCACAGAAAATAGTTGCTAATCATATCCATGTGTATTTAATGTACTCTGTACACACTAATATCAACAGAACTTTAAAAATACAAAACAAAGAAGAAAAACCACTTGAAGATAACAAAAAATAAAGAATTTTCCGGAAATTCAGATTAATCAGAAGAAGATAAAAATTACTTCCTAAAAGCATATACCACTACAAAAATTATGTTTCAGTTCCGAACTTCAAATGGTCGTTGGTTTAAAAAAAAAAATCCATCCAAAAAAAAAAGAAAAAAAAAAGAGTAAAGGAGAAATAATTCAACTGAATACAAAATTAGGATGTAGACAACTAATGAGTTGTTTATCTCTAATGACTCAAAATTGATTAATAAATTGTGTTCGATTAATGGCTATCTCCAATGAATATAAAATTAGGGTCTCCACTAATTATTATATATAAAATTAAATATTAAGTTTGGTTCTGGTTCTTATTTTTGAACTAGAGCTGAACCAAAACCAAAATCAAATGGTTCTCGATTCAAAGAACCAAAATCATTAATTTTTTTGATAGAATCGAATTGAACCACTTGGTTTGGTTTGGTTTGGTCTATTCTGAATATTTTGTCCGCCCCTAATCATGTGTGTATGTAATTCATTACATACATGTAACACAACCGAAAATTTAAATTTACTTAGGGATGGCAATAGGGCTCACCGGTTCGAGCTGCCCGTAACTCGGCTTGGGGCTCGATAGACCCGACCCTATGCTCGGGTCGAGCCCCATTTTGGGGACACGGGCTTTGCCCGAGTCGGTCTGTGAGCTCGTGAGCTTTTTCTTAAAAAAAAATTAATTAATTTTGAGGCAGCAGCAGTTTAGGAGGAATATATAATAATAAAAAAATAGTGGAGAAAAGGAGTCTGCCCAGTTCGGCCCGGAAAAAGTCGAGCCTATTTTTTTTGGACGAGCGGTCGAGCCCGCAAAAAAGCTCGACCATTTTAACCGGGCCGAGCCCGAGCCGAAACTTTAGACTCGTGAGCCGGCTCGGCCTGACTCGTTTACATCCCTAAATTTACTTTTTGTCTCTTGTATCTTTTATCGAAAATACAATTTACATTTCATTTGCATCTCTTCATTCGAGGGGTTTTTAATCACTTTGGAGATTTAAATCATTATTTATATTTATTTTACACCATGGTCGGATACGCTCTAATGTAAAAATAAAAAATATCAAATTTTTAATAAATTCTTACGAAAGTTAATAAAATGTGTGATTGATATATATATATATATATATATGAGGATCTTATAAAATATCTAATTCAGAATTAATTCTAAAAATGAGTTCAAACAGACTTGTCTTTCATTGACACTAGCAATCAAAGAGGTTCTTCTCTAAATCTTCTACTATATAAAAAGGGAAATGAAGAGACACTGTTCATATGAACAGTATTTAGTTCAAT